GAAGAAGATCCCACAAGGTGGGTGCCACAACAGACAAGGCCCACCTCCTGGGACCCACCAAATGTAATTCCCTGGCAGACGGGACACGCAGCATGTGTTCTCTGCCAGACCTGATGGGACGGGCAGATGTAATCGGGGAGAGGCAGTCCCTCAGGTAACGTGGCCCCGTGCCATGAAGGGCTTTAAAGGTCAAAACCAGCACCTTGAATTGGATCTGGAAGCAAACTGGCAACCAATGCAGCTTGCAGAGCAGAGGTGTAACATGTACTGCCCTAGGGGCGCACATAACTGCCTGTGCCACTGCATTTTGCACCAGGTGAAGCTTCCAGATACTCTTTAAGGGCAGCTCCGTGTAGAGCACATTACAGAAATCCAAATGGGAGATGACTAGGACATGAGTGACAGTGAGTAAGTCCCTCTGATCTAGGAATGGGTGCAAACTGGCACACAACATGAAGCTGTGCAAAGGTCCTCCTAGCCACGACTGCCACCTGCTCTTGGAGGACTCCCAGACTGCACACAGGTCTGTCTGGGGCAGTGTGACTCCATTCAGTACCAAAGATGGCATAGCTGTAGTACCAGAAGGCCCCAAAACCCAAAGCTACTCAGTCTTGCCAGCGTTCAGTTGAAGCCTGTTTTTCCCCATCCCCATCACAGCCTCCAGGCACCGGGATAAGGCTTCCACATCATCACTTACTTCGCCAGGGGCAGAGATGTATAATTGGCTATCTGGATCCCTTTCATCCTATTATGAGGACCTGAAAAAAGATACATCAGCTGGACCCGCTGGCTTGTAAAGGGCATGTGTCTTTATTTATTTATTTGCTTTTAAAAATAATAATAAATGTGTGTGTGTCTCTGCTAAGAGCAAGGACACAATAGAACAACTTTCAAAACTTAACAAATCCACTGACAATTATCCTTTCCTGCAAAGCACAGCTATAAATATATCACCGCAGACTTTTAAAAACTGAAAGCTAAAGGCTTTGGGAGCTCAAGTGGACTCACCCATCCTTGCAATCCATGGCAGGGACCAAAATATTCAAGTCAATGTCTGGCCATACAAATAATGTGGGTGGGAGAGATTTTGTTTCTGGAACTATGGTCTGAGAAATCTAGATGATGGACTGTTGGTATGAATTGAGGACTGGTAAAAACACGTTTTGGTTAGGAGGCTTTCATATGAATCCTGTAGGAGTTGGGAATGAAAACCATGAAGTAAGAATATTAGATAAAGACTTGTACACTTTTTAAATGGAGAATGTGCATCCTCTTAAATCAGTCTAAGAAAAATCAGAATCAGAGCATGGAAAAAGGCACAAGAACAATTCTTGATAACAGGAGGAGGAGCTCATGGACAGGTGGGAGTTCCTAAAGAAGATAATAAAAACAGAATTACAAAAAATTCCAATGGGGAGGAAAAAAAAATGGAGGCCAGCAAAAAAAATCAATGTAGCTCACAAAAAGCAGTGAGGAGAAAGTGGTGAACTGATCATGAGTAGTGTGAGAAGGCAGATTTTATTAACTCCTATTTTGCATCTGTCTTCTCTCAAAAGCGAAATGGAGCAATTGATTCTACTTTACTGCTCCTCTTATTGTTGCCATCCTTAATTCAGAGGATCCTTCAGGATTTAAACTGGAAGAGTTTTCCAGTTTACTGTTTTGTGAGAGGTGGCAGAACGTACTACTGTTAAGAGCATGGGAACATAAGTATAGTCCTGTTGGATCACCCCCATTTTAGCATTTTTTTCTCTCTCATTGTGCCAACCAGATAGCAAGCAGAAGATAGTGATGTACCTGTTTCCTAGTGTTGTTCCCCTGCAACTATTAGTTGGCGGCATGCTGCCCCCAACCCAGAGGGCACATCTTCAAGGCTAAAAGACCCCAAGATGCCTGTTCCTCATGAATTTAAGCAATCCCATTTTAAAATAATCCCAACTATCAATCTTCAGCACATCTTCTAGTAAATACTTTTGGAAGTTAATTATGTGCTTTATGAAGAAATGTTGTGTTTTGATTGTTCTAGAACTCCTAATCAGTTTGATTAGACAATTCATAGTTCTAGTATCTTTTTAGAGATAGAAAAAAAAGCCTTTTACTTTTTCCATGCCATGCATGATTTTATATACCTCAGTCATGTTTCCTCTGTCATCTTTTTTTTCTAAACTAAAGAATCCCAAATAATCTAACCTTTTCTCTGATCATTTTGGTTGTGTTTTTCTACACTTTTTCCAGTGTGATGACCAGAACTGTACACACTATGCAGCTCTATATAATGGGCATTAAAGCACCGGCAGTTTATGTTCAATTCCTTTCCTAATGATCCCCAATGGTCTGTTGTTTTCTTTTACAAATCTTTCTATTATACGGCAGCCACTTTGGCTGTTCAAACTTCCCACTCCGAAAAGGCCCAAGGAGAGGAATCCCTTCATGATATCTTTCTCTGAGACTTAACTGAAGCATAAATAACCAGAGATGCTGCAGCCTGCTGGAAAAAGAACTACAGAATTAAAGACAAGACATTCATTCTCACCCCTTGGCCACTTAACTGAGTAAGTGCAAGAAACTACATTGTATCTATCAAAAGTTCATCAAAATTATTTTCTTCTTTGAAAGAAATTTTAGTGACAAATTCTTTTTCATCAAATTGCACTGAAACTGGTAAGAAATACATGGTTCTTTTTTCTGCACAGGAACTAACTGGGGATGATGATAGTTAATACTCCAGTACATTTGGCAAGGATGAAATTGGAGAAAGGCATGCTATGTGCTATTGAACTATAATGAAGTCTAATTCTTTGCCTTGCTTATTTTGTATTTCTTTCAAATGTTGGTTCTTTTAATTGTTTTGGAATTAGAATGGATCTTAATGCATTATGCAATGTGTCATATCAATCATATCAAATGATGACATATAAATATTGCGCACACATAATAAAATATAATAAAATAAAATAGATACCTGGTTTACTTGCCATAGACACCAGTGGCAGGAAATCTTTTGATGTATAAAATCCTTCTTCTATTCCAAGTCCCTGAAATACAGATTCTTTCTTTGGTTCTGGTAGACCTAAGACAGGAGGGAGGTCAATATTCAGTAAACATTCAATAATGAAATTAAAAAAAGAAAGAAAAGGAAATATGTTTTCTTTCTTAAATGAAAAGTATATATGAATCCTCAAAATATGTATATGTTTTGGCAACCAGTTCTCTCTCTCTAGTAATTTTTAGTGACTTTATGGCAGGGGTAGGATTTGAACTATAAATTTCTAAATGTGTAGCCCAGTAAAATCTAGATAAATAAGTATGCTACTGAACTGATTTTTTTAAGTCACTGACAAAAAAAAGGCTCCAATTTACAAATTTTTCTACATAAATAAGCACCTTTATACATGTTGAGATGATTTTCATTTTTAAGTTTTTTCAACTACAAAATGTCACATACAAAAATATCACATTTTAAAAAATTCTGTACATACACCTCAGGAAATGTATTGAATCTTCTGGTTGGTTTTCTTGCTTAGTGTAATAAATGCTGATATGTTGCTACTTGAGAAGGATTTATGTGACTCATTTGAACAGAACTCTTAAAAAAAGATGACACATTAATCCCAATAGTGTCAAAACAATGTCTTCTTGGCCTCTCAAAGCCTCTTATACAACTTCCAGGACAATGTCAGATGCCATTTTATTTTAGCTAGAAGTCTCAATCAACAGTCAAGACAAGAAAAGTAACAATGAAACAACATGGAATTTTTCCAGTGGAAGACATGTGGCATCTCAAACAATTGGGATAAACAAGTTGGGATGACTGTATTTCATTCTCACTGGCATTTATATGGTTAATGATTGTAAGGATATTTTCTCTGAATTTTTTGTGAGGCAATTGACAAGAGTGTAATTCAAGCGTCAATCAAAAGGGAGAAATGATGCCGTG